GTTCATTAAGAGTGTAGATTTAAGATGCAATAAGTCAAGCAGAAATTTATTTAATGCACTTTATAAGTCATTTGATTACTTTTGTTGATGAGTGAACGATTTCAATTACCTTACACTTTAAATGCGTCACTGTCATATGATATGGGTGCCACAAATGGTAGTTCATTTATCTCAGAGTGGTAGTTCGAAACTTTTATAATTTTAAGCAGCATAATGAAAATTTTAGGCGAAACGTATGACTGTTTCTTAACGGCTGGAGAAGGTCCACGAGTAAGGCAAAGTTGAAGGTCAAGTGTCAACTTTACAAGCTATAAATGAAAACTAACTTATACGCAAGCATACATACATACATACATACATACCACATCTAAAAGAATTATACACACAACTACTTAGTTAATATTTCTCCATCGGCCGACTGTAATACATAAATGAGCCGATTAAAGGACACAAGAACCAAAAGTTGCAAAGCAAAAAGAAAAATTAATGCATACATACAAACAATATAATAAGTGAGAGCAAAAGTTTTGGTAACTACCCCAAATCACCGACAGCAGTGTTGATTGTTGACACGTTCGCCACCACCCAACCGAAGTATAATAAGTCGGCTTGCGGCACAATGATAACCTGGCCTGTCCTGGACGAGAACGACAATCGGTTGGTGCTGCATGTTTGAGGCACATAAATACGCTGACTATTGTGATATATAATTATTGACATGTTTGTGTGTATGTGCGCGTTTTAATGCCATTTGACGCCGAGGAAATCTCTTAGCCAAATTAAACTAGTTGTTTCAATAACTGCAAGGCGACAGTTTCGACTTCTTCTAATAAAAGATGGAGCAACGGACACCAGTTTGTGTGAGTCTTCACACGAATATCAGTATCGAAAGTATTAATAGTGTGTCGGTTACTTCGTTTGAAGCATCGCACTGTATCATGTTATAATTAAGCGCAACAACAACACGCCTTGACTATATGTCGAATATCTGTCACAGTACGGAACTTGAGCTCACTCCTAGCGCCGAGATGTGTTGATAGGATAATGACAGAACGTCACGCTTGACGACGTACGAACGGAAACTATGTCAGCGTGAAAACTTTTGTGGACCGAAAAGCTTCTTTTATGCACCAGCTTAATTTCGTTGTGGCTATTTTCCACGCCTTTTGTTCATTTGGCAGACTTTTTGTCACAGTGGCCGCACAGCTGGTGGCAACAACTTGAAGGTGGCCACAAAAGTAACTATAAGCGAATTAGCCCTGGCGGTCGTAATTAAAAAGGAAAAGCGAAAAAAGGACAAAATACAAAGTACAAAAGGGAAAACAACGTACAATGAGGTATTAACTGAAAACACAGACCCGCAAATGTTTTTGTTGCACGGACGCACAAAATGAGTTTACCGCAGAGTAATATAATAATGAAGGCCGAAAGGAAATGTTTAACTGATATAAACAGTTAAATGGATTTTGAGGCTCAGCTAAAGGTTTCCATTTATACATACAACTAATACTGGTCAGTACGTTTCACTTTGTTTGAATTTTTCAGCGTTGTTTATTATCAAGATTATGAACTTGCAAAAAGCTCTAAGAGATTAGCATATTGACGGGAAACAAAAGCTGAAAATTTTAATTTATTAAGAAGTTTTAATCTCAGTCACCATACAATGTATAAAATAGTTACGGATCTGCGAAAGCTTCTAATTTTAGCATTTTCCTAAATGTCAACAACAAGAATATTTGTTGTGATGTGCGACTTTAGTTTTAACAAGTTTATAACAATTTTTTCCCATCTTTAAACTGCCACGCATGGCTCAGTCAATTACAAGTATTTATCAAGGGGACTTTTTATTTTTAGTATTGGCATCAAGGGCAGTAAACAACAAAATTCCGAGAACAATGTGACTTTCTTAAGAAATTATTCACACTCGACTCACTACTTAAACGCGTGTGAATAAAGATTTATTTAAAAATACATATTATATAGAATATTCAAGTAAAAACAACTTAACTGTTAACTTTAAGTATTATCTGCTTTGAAATTCGAAGAAGTGTCTCCTTGGTTAGAGCTTAAAGGGTAGATTTCATAAAGAGTAAATATATAATATAATATATGAATGCAATAAAAAACAAGTAAGGAAGTGCTAATTTCGCGTGCTACCGAACATTTTATACTCTTAACAACTTGCAAGGACCAAAGCAGGGAAAATACCTTCATGTTTTAGAATAACTTTATATCAAAAAATGTTTCAAAACAATTAAACATTCATTATTCGATGAAATCGTAAATGAATTACAATAAAATTTAGTATTTTATTAATTATATCATAAGTCATGGACTCACTAAGTTTTATTACTATATTTTACTTCGCGTCAGCTAAAATTCTATTAAAATCATCTTCAACAGAGATTTATGGGATATAAACTCAACTGAAGAAACTAAATTTAATGTAATGAGTTGATGTGAAAACGTCAAGCAGAGAATTCATTATTTTAGGGATATAAGGCTTGGAGCAATGTATAGACCAATTACATTCATATTTACACACAATTTTTAAGAAAACTTGTTCATTTAATTTTATTAAAGTATCACACATTTTGTCAGGTGGAAAGTGGGAAATTATTATACAGGCTATATTGTGGACAGAGAAAGGGTTGAGCTGATTGAATTAATTTTGACATTGCTGAGATATACTAGAGTTCATATTTTCAAGATATTTTATAAATATATATCTCACACATTGAACAACATGTTTGGCATAAGGTTTGTTAGAATAATGAAAATCAATATACTTGTATGTAGTATTTTGGAAGTTAGGGTAATTCGTAGATAAAAATCACATATTCACGGCATTTAACTATAGTATAAGTATCCAATATTATGCTTTAAACTATAGTATATCCATTATTATACGTTCTGTTAATTTTGTTAAGATATCTTACATATTGACTGATATACATATATGGCGTAAGGCCTTTTAGTTCGATTTGGACAATTTTTGGTCATAAGGTGGCACAATGTAGGGGCACTACTCGTGCAAAGGTTCATCCCATTGTATTTATTGCTGCTTCATTTGTATACTGGAAAGTGAAAGAATCATATGGAATTTCAAATATGTTATATGACAAGTAGGCGTGCTTGTAGTTCGATTTCGTAACTTTCATTTGCGCACTGTAACATAAGGTCATCACGAAACTGTTATGTACCGAATTTGATTGAAATTGGTCCAATAGTTCCGGAGATATTTGATTTCACCTAAATGGGGGCGGTGCCACGCCCGTCGCCCAATTTTGATTTGTACCATCCGCGATGTAAAGTTAAATGTCTCTGCCGCATTTCGTTATTTATTTATCGCACGTTTAGTAGTTTTTAACAAAACCGTTATATGGGGAGTGGGCGGGGTTGTCATCCGATTTCATCAATTTTCACATTGCTGAAGGAAAAGTCTAAAATAGGTATTCTGTGCAAAATTGAGTCATATGCTTGAATGGTGTAGGAGATATATACATTATACTTATTAGAGGGCAGTGCAATGTTACAAGCAATCGATAGGTAAACAAAACTGTTATACTGTGTAGCAACATGCTAGAATGTTTTATCGGTTTAGCAGAACAAATACACACTAAATGATACTAATAAACTCCAAATTCTATAATCCATCCTGTCAACATATTTTTTCTAACACTTCCATATCTGACATTAAAAAAATTCGAGAGCCTAGTTTAACCTAACGACCGTTGAACAGTTTAACTGCGTCATTCCTATCAAACAAAATAGTTCTGAGTGCATAACAGGTCAACATTTTTCGTATCCTAGCTTGTAGCTAGTCTGCAGGGACATATTAGCTTTGGTTTTTGAATTCGTATTATCTAATTCCTTTAAAGCATGGAAATGAAAATTGTGGGCATGAATTGCAAAACAAAGAAAAAACCATTTTCGCAAAATTTACCAAACTACTTGCAATACCTTTGTGAAATTTACTTATTTGCATGGAAGTTATTATACAATTTGAGTTAATTATTCGGATGGCAGTGAAATATTTCCACATCATTAACTTGAGCATTTCATTAATAAATAGTAAGTTATACAGTGTTGCATTTCCGCGTCATTAGCGAACAACAAGTACAAGTTAAAATGCACTCGATTGAAGAAACTAAATTTGGCCTACCGACGGGAGAAAGCAAGCTAACATACAAAGCAACTGATAGCAACCTGCTGCCAGCTCTACATAGCCAAGCAATTTGCAATTGAGCTTAATCCCCGTACAAAGCCAGAGCATCGATTACTTACCTACTAACTAGCTGGTGAGCTATACCCGCGTGACTGGCTGTCAAGTCTCACTTAGTCTTGCGGGCAACTCGCAGCTCAAACTGAAGAAGTTCTTAGTCGCTGTGTGGATGCTAGATTGACTATTGGAATTTGTATTTGGCATTAACACCATTTATGCGAATCTCGCTAATGGACTATTGGCATGATTAGACTCTATGTAGCAACACATGCTCAACCAGCTCAGCTGTGGGATTTTCTGTAGACCATGGTAAACACTTGATTTACGGTTGTCTATAGTATTGTGCAATGCTTTGCTGTTGAATACATGTAATATATGCACATAACCACCTAAAGCAAACACATATAGAAGTGAAAATAAAAAAATAAAACAAAACAAGAAAAATTGTGAATAACCTTATTTAATTGAGCACCATATGTTATCTGATGAAAACAGCCGTTTGTAGTCTAAACAAGCTAAAATCGAAGTTAAACATTTCGTGTGACCTAAGTGATAAGTGATTAAGAAATTTACACTGATCTTTGCGAACGTAATAAAGAGCTTGTGAATATACTTGTAGTCGAATTTCAGTTAAGCACGCCCAACCTTAAATTCTTACAGATTTTACTTTTTAATTATTTTCAACTCTTCTCTTTCTGGTCCATAAAATTGAGAACAACGCTTTTTGACTAATAGCCTAATTCGTCTACTATGTCACAGCGTCTGGTTACGCGCATAGTCATAGCGAAGCGGTTGAAAATCTCCACTAAAACATACTTTATTCATTTTACAGCAACAAATTATAAGCATTCACTAATAACATTAATAATGGCTAAAATTGACATATAAAAGCTGACGCAATTTTCGCACTCAACACATTTGAGCACGCGACATTACGGTCATCACTTGGAGCGGCTTTGTCTATTACCAATTTGCTTGTAGCCAAGCGCTTAAAACGTGATATATTATATATGTAAATATAAAAAAAAAATCGCCTGCAAAGATTAAAGTAAAGCAGGAAAACAATGGCTGCACGCGCTGCACGCGCTGCTGTAGTAAGTGCTCTTATGGCGCTTTCGTCAATTTGTCTTCTAGAACGACATATTACCACCTTCGCCGGTGAGTATGATGGGAACGGTATGCTCAATAAGTGTGGCTACAAAACTGCATCACTACTGAGCCACAAATAAGCCGACGTTTCGAATATGCTGCCCCAACCAGTGCATACAAGTTCGCTTTTTCAGCTCCAACAGAGATCGGCGACATTCAATGGAAGTTGATAGAACGCAGCGGTTGGTGGGCACGTCCGCCAAAAGATCGAGTGGCTTTTGCAGGAGCCGCACCGTTCGTCATCATACACCACTCCTATAAGCCCGGTGTGGCTCAATCAGAATCGGATTGCCGTCTGGCCATGCAGCAGATACAAGACCTTCACATGGAGGAGCGACATTGGTCTGATATTGGCTACAGCTATGCAATTTGCGGTGATGGCAATGTATACGTGGGCCGCGGTGCCAATGTGGTCGCAGCTCATGCGCCACGATACAACAATCGCAGCATTGGATTGCTGCTAATAGGCGGTAAGAATAGTTACGATGAGACAATAAAATGGCGACGTTGATGTCGTGTTGAATTGTTGGTCCATTTGAAGCTAATTCAGAGACAATTTTTTATGAATTTTACAGAAGAGCTGCCACCGTCGCGGATGATGAAGGTGGCACTGGACTTTATACAATTCTCTGTAGATTACGGCTTTTTGCGTGAGGATTACATTTTATATGGACATCGGCAAGTGCGCAATGGAACCATCTGTCCGGGCGATGCACTGTATACCGAGCTGCAGAAATGGCCGCATTGGCAAGAGAATGTAAATGACATAGCTTAATTGTAGTGTGTGGGAGCGGGAGTAAAAGTGAATAAAGTAAGTGCCGAAGTAAAAGTACAAATAAATTGTAATATTATTGCAAAAATTAAATTTGCTGTTTCGTTTCGTATATGATTCTGTACTACTCTAAGGGTACGTCCAGTGAAATGTTGATTTGTTTCCAAAAAATCAGCAGTTAGCCGCACAACAGGAACCAGCATACGCTTTTTCTGTTGCGCTAGAGAGGCAATGCCCAGTTGCCCGGTAGCAAGTCAATTAATGAAGTTTTTTTAAAATCCGTAAGCATTTATTACATCCGCTGAAGTGTGATATCAAACGAGGGAAGTTGCAGTTATTTTATGAAAAACGGATTACACTAACAAAGTTGCTTTTAAATTGTAAAATTAAGAAATTATATTAAGATGTCTCCACAATATCCGTTCTTTCGAATTAAAAAAATTTTAAATACCTCATTTCAAAATAAGTTACAATTAAGTCTAACTGCTATTATCCGTATAAACTAATCCATTCTTCTGCGACTTCGTTGACGGCCGAGAATGAGCTGTGAGCAACGTAGCTTACTTAAACCAAAGTTGAGAGAGTGTGACTGTGATTAAGATTAAAAAGTTCGTAAAAATTTAATTATAAATTAGCTTAGCGAAGAGGACACCAACAACGACATACCAAGTGTGAAATGATACGAATGCAGAAACATAACAACAGCTATGTTGATTACGGCAATGCCCCTGCGCCACCGTCGCGCCAGAGTTTCGGAGACCGGCTGGCATTGCTCAGAATAAAGCTTATAACTGGAGATCGAAATGTTGCGTTCAGTTATCAATTTAATGCGAACATGTGCACAAGTGGCGTGTCAGTGGAATAAAACCCACAATTTGTAACAACAAATATTACAATTACATGCATACAACCGAACGAAATATTATTGACAAAAATAGTAGAGGAAGTGTCGACCACAAATCACGGCGCAGGAACAAGTGGCACAAAACAACAAAACCCACCATAGACCGCAGCGAAAATTTAGTTACTTTGTATATGTTGAAAATGATGAATGCAACCGAATCGGTCGGATATACCACCACAGCGCTGAAACTGATATTGTTGCTTAACTTGCTGTTGTTCGGTACTATGAACGTGTTTACTAGTGAGTTAATTGCGAGTGAAATTTGCATTTGCAAATTATGGAAAATACAAAATTTCATGAATCAAATAACTGTGTGCCAATGGGCGCAAAAGTGTGTGTGTGTGTGTGCGTGTGTGTGTGTGTGTGTGTGTGAGTGTGTGTATGCAAGCATGGTACAGGCGAGGTGTCGGTGTTCGTCCGGCGTTGAAAGCTGTGTTTTGGAAGCGAGTACATCCTTGTTTATTTTCACTCCATAACCACCATAACCACTGACCACAAATGTTTGCTTTTGCCTTCCTACCACACCCGCCGCTTTATTAATGTAGCCATAGAAATGAGCGAAGCTGCTGCTATAGCCAACCACAAGGACATAGAGGCAACAGGCGACCAAATATTAGGATATACGCGTAACTGGCGCTTAATCACGCGCGCCGAATGGGGAGCACGCACGCCCACCTCAAGCACCAATTTCACCGGCCCCGCACCATATGTTATCCCACATCATTCCTATCAGCCGGACGTTTGCCAGACCGAGGATGCTTGCAAAGCAGCGATGCGCTCCATGCAGAACTTCCATATGAACAGTCATGGTTGGCCGGACATTGGCTACAGTTTCGCCGTTGGCGGTGACGGCAATGTGTATGAGGGGCGCGGCTATGAGGTGGTCGGTGCACACGCACCCAACTACAACAGTCGCAGTATTGGTCTACTCTTAATTGGTAATTTTATGGGTAAGCTATGCCGCAGTGACTGAACAACAATGCTAAGTTGCACCAATCAGTGTTTTACCTTTGTAGATGAGCTGCCACCGGCGCCAATGTCGCAAGTGACACAAGATTTTATTAAATACTCGATAGAGGGTGGTCATCTGCGTGACGATTTCATTTTGTATGGTCACCGACAGGTGCGCAACACCGAGTGTCCCGGAAATGCGTTGTATGCGGTGATCCAGAAATGGCCCCACTGGCAGGACCGCAATTGACAAACGCCGCAATCGAAAACGGCAGAAACGGAAATGTTAGCTCCTAATTATTTTAACTTATAATCTATTTCAAACGTATAGCAGCAATGTACATACATACATACTCTTAACTTACTGCTCAACAAAACCTATGAGTGTGTCAACCTTCTTTTGAACCCGTCCTTCGCGTAAGAACTCTAATTACTGAAACTCAGTACATAAGCTTCGAACTTTTCGCCATAGACAATTAGAGCACAAAAATAGCAGTAAACCTACAATTATCACCAAATTTTTACATACTTACTTATTTATTATTATACTCCATTCCGCGGTTGTATTCAATATTTACTTATCTATAATATATGGTATAACAACATATATGAACAATACTAATATATTTCTGAAAACACAAATACATAGATTTTCGAATAGCAGTTTTTAATCGAGTCCATTCGTAACAATCAGCTAATGTATAACAACGAAGGGGATTCCCAGAACCTAGAAGCAAACAATCGGTGCGATTAGACACTGGCATTGTTAAATAAATACATATTTAGCAAACCTACGAGTATGTAGTATGCAATTGATAACAAAAATTTCATGAATATACCACAATAAACTTTCACAAATTAAACCCTGCACGAAATGTAACTGCCTCAAATTTAGCTCAAAACCATTACGATTTTAGTGTGAGCTTTGGCACAACGAATAAATATGAAATTAATGCCCAAGTTGTTTGTGAGCGAGGAGAGAAAAATTTTGCACCAATTGTTGGCAACACAAAGCGTCACAGCATTATATGTATTAAGAACTAGTATATATAAATAAAAATATTGTAAATTTTTTTTTTCAGTTTTTCCATGCTTTCACAATAACCTCATAAACATGATGACAACTCTCTCTAACCACGGCTCTCTAAAACGGCTGCCTTAATAACATACTATAGGTATACAAAAGAGAATGACGATTGTATTTGCAAGACATACCAAAGTTCGCGTTGGCCGTTATTAAAAGAGCGTAAATGCAAACCAGTACTGGTGTTCGGTGCACTAGTAAAACCAGAACCGAACCAGTTATACAGAAGTGTCTTTTGCTACGGCTAAAAAAGATAAGAAACGCGATAAGAATTTTTAAATGCCAGGCGTCTGTGCTCTCCTATAAATATACTGTTATAGCAATAAACTAAATATTGATAGGTAAAAATGTATGACATTGCCACTGCTTTTCATTATTCTTTCTTTCTTTGCAATGGGTTTATTTGGCACTTGATATAATTACCTTGTATATTATCAATTAATGTGCAGATTTGGTAGCTAATTCAATTTTAGGAGATAAGAGTTTAGCGCGAATAACAAAATGTTGTGTAAAAAGCTATCGAGAGATAAAAAACAGAACGAAAAGAAAATAAACAAAAAGCAAGAAACAAATCAATGACTTTTGAAAGGTAAGGTAATTGATATCATAACGAAAAAGTTGTCACTTGAAGGGACTGAGATAGAATGCTCATCAAATGAGTTCAGCGATCTTTCACTCAGCCGCTCGTATGAGCAGCTATGTATGTTTTTGAGCAATAATTATTTGCTATGCTGTGAGAACACAACAATTTTGCAAGCAAAAATAAAAATCACAAAAGCAAATCCGAAATTCGTATTTCAATTTATTTAAATTATGTTTGGTTGTGATTTGTGTTAATGTAAGCAATTGTATATTAAATAGAAAGATTTGCTCATTACCGAGGCTTTCGGTTTAGATTGAAAGTGGGCAATTAAATACAACAGGTGCGCACTGCCAACGCCACTCATGTGAAAATGCATAGTGTTGCTTTAGTTAAACTTAGTTAAACTCACTGACTATCAACATTAGCAACGCGGTACATTCCCGTACACATCGGTTTGTTTTTTACCTCGATTCAGGGCTTTCATTGCGGAAGCCAGCACAGACAGGGGATCACTTGGGCATGCGACTTTGGGGGCCAAAGTACACGGTATTGACTTCTTTATTGGCGATTGTATGTACATCCCCGCGATGGTGATTTCTATCTTTCATTGAAAGACGACGAAAGGAGAAGAGGGGGGAAGAAAACGTTGTTGACGCTTGCAAAACTGCATTTAATAAAAGCAATTTTTGTACTCGTTGGATTGCAATAACGACCGGTTTTTGTGCTATGCTACCACATATCTGCATATGTATGTATTTTGCTTTGATGATCGTATGTATAAGGTATATAGTATAATTAGAAAAAAGGTATAAGGTATATAGTATAATTAGAAAATTTTAAATGCCGTCGAAGCGAAGTTCTGCTGAAATTGAAAGTTTTAATTGCCATTTTTATGCACAGCACTGTACATTTTGTAGCAATGAGTTTTATATAAATATTTTGTTTTCAATTTCTTTTAAAAAAAAGCACATGACACATGACGAGTGCTATCCACATTGGAAAGACATTGTTGTGCTGTTGTTGTTATTTGAACAGGAAAAATCCCCTGCATTCAAGTGCACTAATAATCAGCAATAAATGAAGGTAAGCCTATCGATGGTTTTTTTTAAGCAGTTGTAATTACTGTCTGAAGAGCTCTTCAAAGGCCTTCAGTGTAAAAAAAAATATAATATGACATATTTGCTTGTTTAACAGGCGTAATACCGTTACTATCAGTATGGCAATAGAATTATAAATGAAGTGTGATTTATTAAAAGTGGTATTTGTGTTTTTCAGTGGCTTTGAACGACCCACTTATGGAGCGACCAATCAGAGGAAAGTTAAAGATTGAGAGCATCCATTCGCTTCAACAACAAAGAGAGAATATTATAACCAATACCGCTGTTTACTATTGGAGGTGTGATAAGAGCAAAAGGTTTGGAAGTTTTGGGAACGGTGATTGTTGTTGATCGCGGAAACACGCTCTTGCAGCGAAAACAATAGCTAAAGCCATTGACACACTGATCGCATATTGATAAACTCGATGCAATAAAGCACTGCATACGAAAACTTCGTTAGATTGAATAAAAAACGGAATTATTGCGAAAAGTAAACAAAAACAATTTCATCTTCTAAGTCCACTCAACTTCATAATTAATTGCCTAAATTTATCACTCATTATTTAATTTGTTGTAATTTTTTCCAATTCGCTTTGTTACGGTGATTTTGTTTGAATTTAATTTAGTTTTGTTTATTTGCTTTAAGGCTTATGGCATTAACCGTTATTTCTAATTTTTCCTTTCCGCTTTGTTTATGTTTTTTTTCTTTTTTACAAAACCTGTTGTGTTGCTGCTGGCTCACTTTATCACTTTATTATCATTGCTTTGCATTGGTTTTGCAGCCAACCGCTAGTCAGAATACAGCTTTGTTGTTGTTGGCTTTTCTTTGCGATTTTGTGTCTATAAACGTGAACGCTCAACGCTCAACGAGCACTCAGCGCAAGTGGGAAGTGTGTACAGCGAGTGTGGAGCGTGAGCGTATTAGTTGGGCGATAGCGATTACACAGTTAGGCGCACATTGCAAAGGTGCTCGGGACGAACAAGCGAACGGACGCATAAAACGGAACTGAAACGGTCGTCCACTCAGAAAAAGGTGCTAGCCAGTGGTAGAAAGCGGACGGTCGAAAAGCCAATGTAGGTTGGTAATCAATGCAGAGACTAGACGACGAGCGGAAAAAAATCACAGAATAAATAGCACAAAATCAGAAGAGCAAATAGAAGTTGGATTGCTGTTGAAAAGTTAGCAACAACCGTGTAAAACCGTAACCAAACTTAATTTATTACTTGCCGACAAAAAGTCTGTTTGCTTTGATTTCGTTTACAGCTGTAATTACTGTATTAAATTAGAAAGTTCCGGTAAAATCCGTGGACAAACGCAAAAACACTGTGAAAAATCAGAAAATTGTAGTCAAGCGCTGCAAATCACAACCAAAATAAATTCTAGATTTTTAAGTCCTTGAACAGTGAATTAATTAAAGTGCACTCTTCCAACAAAATAAATATGACAGCATTTGGTTTATTCCTCTTATCAATGTGGGGTAAGTTATCAATACAAAATGTCACAAGCGTAAGCCCATGCATATAATGAAAAGACACATGTGAACAAAGCTTCTTACCCAGCAAGCATAATTTATCGCACAAAAATTCGTATGTTGCGAATAAACGGTATTTAACCGATAATTTGGTTGGTAGGCTAGTAAGTCACCACTTATTTATACCATAGATTTCTTTACAAGAAATAATTATATAACTTATAAAATATTTTTATAGCGATATTTTGTACCTTTTTTTAAAAATTGTCGTTTAGTGGCAAACTGGGTTATTTATTATTATTATTCCGCAACAAACTGCTTTATTTTAATAATTTTGCGTGCGCTTTTACGCGCGAACTTGCTTATCAGCAGCGGTGAATAAAGTCGAAACACACACACACATATGTATGTGCAAACCAAAAAACAAACATTAAAAGTGAAACAACTCAAAAAAAAAATAGTTTCCATTCTATTTCAAGTACATAGTCAAGTAGAACTTCAAGTACAGGGTCATCTTTAAAGGCGTCATCAAAAGGCTAATAACTTTGACACTTAATAACCGTTCTTTTTTTGGTTATACATGTCGTAAACCCTTTGCACAACGAAACAATGCGTCGAAATAGCGACGCTTTGCATATCAAATAATATTTGAAGAAAAGCAAATTCATTAGAGAACCTTTAAAGGTGATTGCATGTCCAAAAGCCTACAGTTACTGACAATAAAATATCATCAAAATTTTATTTACAACCATTTGCAAAAAAAAAAGTGTTACCACAATGCTTAGCAGGAAAAAATCATTTTTAATAGTTAATAAAATTTATTTGAAGAATTTCAAAAGCTAAAATAACTTAATTAAAATTAAGTATTACCAGCAGATAACTTTTAAAGGAACTGTCAGGAATTTCAATTGACAATAAATTGGAAACATTGAACTAAAACTCGTAAATAGTAGACTATTATAATTAAAAAATGCATGTAAATTAGAATTTTATTGCAAAACCTTTCTTTGCGAGCAGTGCACCTTTTCGACATAGATTCTACTTAAGCTTTACAAAGTTAATTCGGTATTGAATACCACGCCTCTTGGACTTTTTACCATGGTTTCTCCTTATTTCGTAGTTAAATACCACCTTTCATTCCTTTACAATCTACCACCGGTTTTCTATAGGATTTAAATCCGAAGATTGCGCCGGCCAAGTCATAACATCAATTCCTTGTTGTTATAGTCAAGTCTTAACCACACCCCAGGTATGCTAGGGCTCATTGTCATGCTGGAACTGCCCAACTAAAGGAATATTCCTTTCCGCATAAGGAAGCATTACATCTTCTAAAATTCTAAGGTAGTGATAACGGTCCATGACTTACCAAATCCAAAACAGCGATCCAACTCCGTACCACGAAAAACATGCCCATATCATTATATTACCACCTCCGTGTTTGAAAGTTTTTGTCGTGTATAGAAAATTCATTTCAGCATTCTTCGTACGTCGAGTACAACAGTTTTTCCATCGCTACCTACCATACTTATTTAAGATTCATTGGACCAAAGGATCTTAAGCCACTTTTTTTGCATTTTCTTCACCGATCCAATTCATATGCTTTATAGCAAAATCAATTCGATTGTTCCGCAGTCTTTTTGTCAACATTGGGACTTTCCTTTCCGGAACAACCTTCCGAAGAGATTATTTTCTAAAAGACGAAGCACAACAGTGCTCGAACAAATTTCTACAACCAATTCTACAGCTACAGACGATTTGAAAGGATCGTGTTTTGATAAAATCTCTATGTAATCGTCATCCTGGGACGTTGTTTTTCGTGGTCGCCCCCTCAAAGCCGTCGACACAAAAATTTGGGACTTTTTTTGCAAATTTTTTATAAGCTTAAGCTTTGCCGCTGTGCAATAGATAGATATTGTAGAGGTAAAACGTATCCGAAATTTATCGTACAAATAATATGGATTGTTACTTATTTCGGAACCAACTATTTGATGTTATTTTATTGTCAGTAACTGTATATTTGACTCTTCCTGACAGCTTTTCAAATAAGACCAAAAGCGGGAAAGTGTACGTCAGCAATACTCGGAACTTTGATGAGTTCAAGGCAAACATTCACTTTACCGCTCGGGAAGTTCGAAAACGTAACAGAAAACGCAGTAAAACAGGATACGTACTGTATTCACTAAAAGTTTAAATAGATGGT